ACGCCGGCCCTGAGCGTGTCCGTACGATATTGGCATTGACCATTGCGTAAATTGTCACCCGTGTATTTCAAATGCACGTACCATTACGCCGCACGCTCGATCCTCGGTAGACTTACTTTTTAATGAAAGCTCCTGTTTACTTAAATATGTGTATCAATACATAAATTACAACAAATTTAAGCAGATGGCTTGATTTACATTTGTAACCTTATTAGTAATTACTTTTTTAAAATACACATAAAATAATAAATCGTTATGAGTAAATACATTTTTTAGTAACCATGTTGGGTCTTGTACGTTTGAACTTTAGGTAACCGGAAGCACTTTTCGTAGGATAGTTGATTATTCTCCTATCTACGTATCTATTAGTAATGATTTAAATAGGTAGTTGATACTTGATATTAATAAATCAGTTAATCATGAATACATTATTGTAAAAACTTGTAGGTATGAGTTCATCAATGCATTTATTAAAGCCATAAATATAATATATTGATGTGTAACAAACAATTTTTTATAATGTATATTGTTCATTTTAATATAGATAATTTATTATTTTTGTTTTTATTCTTTGTTAAGTACCTATATAAGCCGGTTCTTTAATATCGGTAACCAAAAGTCTCTTTCCGAACTGCGGGTTTACAATTTCAGGTACCTAGTAAACATTCTTTGTAGAAACTGTAAAAATTTAATGAAATAGTAATATTTAAGATTTATGTAGATATAATATAATATAACATAAGTCAAAACAAATAAACAACAATACAATACACGTAGGCGTAACATGTGTACCTATACTGTATATTAATTGTATATTTATTTGTATATTATATATTATATTTTGTCAAACAGAGACACTCAGAGGCGTGCTCAGGATTTTTCTATGGGGGGGGGGTCATTTAATAATTTTTAATAGATTCATTTAATAATATAAAATATAGGTATTATACTTATCAGTTATCACATATTTATTATAGATAATACACATAGACAATATTGAGTATATATATTCATAAATACATAATATGCCTATTTTTAAAGAACAAAGTCTAATTTTCTAGGCTTTTTGGCCAATTCATCAAGGACTTCTTCAGCTGTTATTGGAACTTCCTTGTGAACGGCCAGCATTGTCAATCCATTAAGTCTGGTCTAGAAAAAATATGTTGTAAATATAAACATAAAAAAAATATTATAATTAACTATTTGTTTAAATTTTGAAATTCTACTTCTGTCATCGTGCTACGTAGATAATTCTTCAATCTTTTAAGACATGAAAATGTCCGTTCTGTGGCCGATTATTACGAGGACCAAGCGCATGGAATAATACAATTAAATATTGTAATACAATACTTCTATTTCAGTCTTATGATACAATTTATGAACGCCGATTATTCAGTGTTGTCATAGTAGAATAGTTTCACATTTTATTATATTGAAAAAAAAAATTTTAATATTTCCTTCGAGAAAATTTCATATTTCTCTGACCACTTTTGATTATAGTATATTAGTATTATACAATATAACTCCAAGTAACTTACAACAAATTAAAAAAATTAAAAGGTATTTTTTGTGTTTGAATACATTTTTAAGAGCATTTTGTATAGGTTTTTATGGCATCTTTTGTGTGTTCACTATTACAATGTTTAACTTACGGATTTCTATAAGCATTCTCACAAGTATTAAGCTCGTGACTTTCCACATTTGATATTTCCAAATCACTGAAATTTGTATAAGTCCTGTTGGATGGTGTACTACTACTAATAATGAATGGTATCTTAAATTGTGTACTTGACGTACGTAATGACTAAAGACCGGATTTATAATCTCTTAAAATACCCAAAATATGATGCTAATATTCTCTAAAAACCCTTCAAATATTCTCATTATATTCTCTCAAAAATTTAAAAAATATGCTAAAATATACAAAAATAATCAAACAACATCATTATATGCTTTAATATGCATTTATTTTTTAAAATTTTTTTTTAACTATATTTTTATAGTGAGATATTAATTAGGTATTAAGAGTTGCGTATTAAACCTAATGGAATAGTATTGCATTTTAGCAAGAGTAGGAAGTTGGAATATAATATAAATATAACAGTATAATATATTAAAACACAAAAACAAAATTTTGATATTTGAATATTTGATAAACTTCTAAGTTGATCTTATCATTAGATATACATGGATAAACCTTGATAATACTGATTGTTTTATTTTTATCAAAATGAAAAAATAAATAAATAAATTGTAAATGGTCAAAAAAAAATTTTCAGAGTACCGTAATATTAAAATTAAAAATAAATACAAATTTTTGCTCACAATTTACGAAATATTCCAAAATATGCTAAATGGGTTGAATATTCTCCAACCCATGAAATATTCTCAAATATGTAAAAAAAACTTTTTTCTACGCATTCAGAATTGAACGAATCGTCCACATTTTTTACTCTCATAAGACTGCATAGACCCAGTAACGATATGTAAAAACATATAAATCCGGTCTTTAGTAATGACTAATGGTTCATTATCAACATTTCTATTCACAAAATAATTAATTAATTTTTATATTGATTATTATCTATTATATAATTATAATTATAAATTTAAAATTAATAGGGTTAAGTCCAGTGCCGCAATTAGAATAAAGTCAATGTATGGGCCCTGAGGTCTATGTATACAATATTTTTTTATAGGTTACCTATACAAAAATAAATAATGATGGTGATTTTTTTTTAAAAAGCCTAAAATTATAATGTGAAAGCCCAGTGTATTGTTATTAAAATATAACTACACTTTTAGTGTTATTTTTTTTTTTATAAATAGTAATTAAGGCAGTTTTATAGATAAATATAGATATTATTATTATGGATAATTAGGGGCCCCGTTCTTCGGCAACAAATTAGACTATAATGCAATTATTTAAAAATTGAAAATATAAGCGGGGTGTTGTAGTGGACCCCTGAGCCAATGATTAGCGGCCCTCTACATTGGCATTGCCCCGGCCGCGGGCCGCCCCTGCAGTGGTTATTGCGTCACTGGGTATAACTTACTATATTTAAATATTATTAAAAAATAAAAATCCCCGACCTTCGGAAAAATTATCCCTAGACTACAATATTACTCACGACCACATGAAATTGATTGATCAAATATTTTTTAAAAGCTAATTTGTAATTTTTTATATTTCTAAGTAAATATTTTGGGGGGTGTAGGGGCATCGCCCCGAAGCGGTTACTTTTCATGTAATATCAGGAGGACTACAGCCCCCTCCCAACATTTTAGCCCTATAATTGTGCCACTGTATATAATATGTGTATAATATAGTGCATACTTATCTGGCACTTCAAATGATATCTTCGGAGATACCTACATTAGCTTCAAAATCAGACGACTCAATTACATCATCTTCATGTAAAACATACTAAACATATTGGAATGGGTTGGGAACAGAGCTGTAAAACGATGAATGAGTTATGAATATAGATAATAGATAACTTAAAGGTAGAATATAATTATGATGTATAAAATAATTAGTTTATTACCAATCTGGTGTAGAAATAGATGATGAAGTACCTGGAAGGCTCCTAGTCGGCTCCTAAAGTACGTGGGTCAAAATTGATGTTTCTAAAAAAAAAAATGCTATTATAGGATAATATTTTATAGTTTTAAAAAATAGGAGTGATATTACCTAATTATTTCAATATTAGATTGATCATTCACTATTTCTTCATTAGTTAATTTTTTGAATATTTTAAAACGATGTTTCATTACACTTTTTATGGAACTTTTTTTAGAAACAAACTGTGGCGTATGGATTTCATTTTTCGGTGGGTCAGTAATGTTTGCGTTTGAAGTTTGTGCATAATTTATCAAAGTTGCATTATATCGATATTTTCCAGTCAACTTAAAAATACTTTTGTATACATTTTCCGATGCAAAGTATTCGACTTGCATAATTGGTTTTTTATCACTAGGTAGGTAATAAATTTGTGCCTGTCGCTTGCCGCTCGATGCCATCTGACATTAATTTTGTATTATTATATTCTGTACAAATATACCACTTACCTGGCTGTGGCTCAAGTTTTGAATATTCAACAGTGTTTGATACTTTGTTCGGATTATTAAGGATTTGTACTGCTTCTCGTAAATTAACTTTTAACCGATTGGTCAATACATATAAATTATGTCGTTGATTATTTGTTTTAAACATATTTGTGACTTTGTAAGTATATTATAAATGTTTAAACAATAAAAATTACAGATCAAAGTTAATAATATATTCACTGTATTTGCACATTACAATGTCACATTGTCACATATATGACTTATATCTACTTACATAGCGCGTCACGTATCAACTAAATACACTAATGAAACTAGAACTAGACGTTCGACGGACGTATCAGGATATTCATAAACAATTAACAAACTAAATCAAAGTAATAACATTTATTGTAATTATAAAAAATAGATAGTGTGTTGTACAATGCTGCAACGGTGGGATCTGCTGAATAAGAGTTTTTGTATGTTACACGGAGCATTGTCGCGACAACACACGAACCCGAATAAAATCAGTCAGTCGTAGTATTACCAGTGAGTAGTAACACTAGTCCAGTGTTAGCCGTTAGGTCAACGATTTGTAGCTATAATTATAATTTTCAAATACCAATTTTATAACAAATACAGTAATTATATCAGAGATGCTGTGGATACTTGTAATTTTTGTGCAAATAACTGCCTTTTGTGAAATACGAACATAGAGTTACTTATTATTTACATTTTTATTTTTTTACACATTACACCTATCATATACTTGTTGCAATACAATATAGTCAAATACCTATAGTGTAACTTCAAACTACTAAACAAAGTAAGTACCAATATTATAATTCATATTGATTTTTTTTTTTATTATTGATAATATTATAATTGTATTAAATGTTCGTCATAGTATTACAATGAAAATGGATGTCTGGAACGTGATTTTTCGTACCATGCTATTGCACTTTCTGCTGATCAATCATAATATATCCAGTGAAAATCAAGACAATGAATTGTTCAACCTCACTCTAACCACCAATAGTCCAGGATTACAGTACGAGATATTAGGGGAAGGTAAATTATGTAAAAGTAGTTGGACCATTAATACATTCATAGATTTAAGATATTTAATAAATAGCCATAGTGATATAAGGAATATGTTAAAAACAATTGATACATATGCAATTAATGACAGTTACCAAATGGCTAGGTATAGAAAAAAGGTTAAGCGATCATTTGAGTCTGGAGGTTCGGCACTACAGTGGATGTTCGGTATTGCCGATGCTGACGACGTACGGAGGTATGATAGTTCGATTAACAAATTAGAGAATGATCAAAAAGATATGATACACATAGTTCAAGACCAAGTCTCTATTTTAAGGAGCACAGTGACAAATTTCAATGAAACCATAACAACATTTAATGAGAATAAATTATTATTTGACAAAAATATTAAAAAAATTGAAACCTCTATTAACAACATAAATATTGAATAAGTAGACGAAAAAAAACAAGTTATTGTTCTAAGATTAATATCTTTAGTTGAAAATAATAAATTTGAATTAGATATATTTGCAACGAGGTTATATATAAGAATGATATCAAACGTTCAAACAAATAAATTAGATGTTTTTATAATTACACAAGATCAGTTGTTGTCAGAAATAAAACAAATAGAAAATATTCTACCTGAAAATTTACAAATCCCTATGGAATTTAATGAAAATAATATACAAGAAATATACAAAATATTACATATAGACCTTCACCCAATGAACGATAGAATAATATTTTCAATTAAAATTTCACTATATATCGGCGAAATGTTCAAATTGTATTACATTATACCAATATACGTTCCAATTTATGAACACGGACAATTCATACATATCGCTGAAAATCCAACGTACTTATTAACAGATTACAGATGATGTGGTGCGACAAAATATTTTATTTGGTCAAATATCAATAACTGTTTAATAGTGGCCGACATTTTTGTTTGTGGTTTAAATGAAATGCTACACAATAGCGATACTGATCCAACTTGTAACAGAAATATTAAAAAATTCTTTACCTAAACCTACGCAATGTGATACTTTTATCACGAAATTTAAAAAAGAATTATGGTACCCATCGTTTTTCAAAAATAATTGGTACTTTGTGTGTGAAAAGCCTACAACAATTACAATAATTTGTAATAATCGATCTTTTATTCGTAAAATTACATTAGAAAGTTCTGGCAAATTATTTCTTAAATGTGGGTGTCAAGCTCATACTGCTAAAGGCGTATTAATAACAGAGCAAACAGTATAGAATCGTATTAATCAACGTTATCCAAAACCCATCCATTTAGATGAAATAAAAAATTTAAAACTCGACAAAGAAGCTTTTATAAAAATCATTTCAAAGTTAAATACACAAGATGAATTACTAAATTAAATATTATTAAATAAGACGTATGGATTTGTGTATACAAACAAATATTTAATCATTATAATAGTTATTATAATATTATACGCGAGTATAAAATTCTGTATAAAAAAAAAAAAAAAATATTTCAGTTTTAGAAAATATAAATTTAGGTTATTGTCCTGTGCCCATTGCTCCACCAAAACAATAAACTTTACTTTATAATTTATAATTACATATTATACATGTACGTTTAAATCTCTTATGCATTTTTTCATACTAATAGTATATAGTTATACTTTATTTTTTAAGAATACACATTTTATTTTATCTATGCACTTGTTAAATATAAGTCTTAGGAATTTAAATTATGATTTATGTGTAATTAATATTTAATTTATTTAATATTTTAATATTTATATAATAATTTATAGTTTATAATTATATAATAAACGATTATAATATGACATTTCGTTCGTAAATCGTAATAATTAAATATTTGTAATTTGTGTACAAGACCTACAATAAATGTTATAATATTTGAATAAATTTTTTTTTTTTTTTTTTTACATAATTATTCCGATTCCATAGTTCATATTTTAATTATTGTAATAATAATTTATTCATTCAAACGATTATAATATAATTATTATTATAATATGACATTTAATTAGTAATAATTATTACATATTTGTATACAATATACCAGTGGCGTATCCAGGATTTTTTTTAGGGGGGGGCACACACTGTCTAAAATTTTACCATATAAAATACTAACTAAAATACCACCAAAAACAAAAAAAATAAAATAAACCAAATATTTAATGTTTTTAATACAAATTATTTATTTATATTTTCAGTCAGTCATTAAGTTAATATATATACATAATAATAAATAGTAATAGCAATTTAATAAGAAAAACGGGTTAATCCCAACAAAATTATAAGTGTATAAAAACAATAGTAACAATTGTATGAAATTATTTTGACCAATCTACGAGTTGCAATTTTCTTGGTGCTTTTTCTGCAAAATCCTCAATGATTTCAGTTTCTGAAATGACCTCTTTTTTATTTATGTTTACTAAAGCTAATCCATTTAGTCTATTTTCAGTCATTGTTGATCTTAAGTATGTTTTCAGTCGTTTTAAGGTAGAAAAAGTACGTTCTGGCGTAGCTGTTGTAACAGGAAGAGTTGTGAATATTTGTAAAAGCAATTTAATATTAGGCAAAATATCTGTACAATAAGGTAAATTCTCAATAGCGGTTTCAGGTTTATTCACTGTGCTATTTTGTCCATCGTCTTTCCATTGATTTTGCCATATACTTAATTCAGCCTTTAATGTAACAATTGCATGGTACGGTACGGAGACCGTTAAACTGTCCGTGTCACCAAAACAGCTGTGTAACTATTCACTGGCGCCCTTTGGAACTAGAACCCCGTTAGTGAAACGTGATAACGGTAATAGTGATTACTGAATACTGGTATATTAAGGCATAAGATAAGCGTATTATTGAAGTATGCGTTCATTGCGTTCATGTATATGAATACATTTAAATCTTTAAAACAAAATCTAGTAAATACGGCCAACGAGGGGGGGGGGGGCATGGCCCCTGTGGCCCCCCCCCCTGGATACGCCACTGCAATATACTATAATGTACACTAAATGGAATAACACTTGATTTAATTTTGATTGTTTTGTTATATAATTTCTAATTGTTCCGATATCATAATAATGAATTTTTTTTTTATCATACCCAAATAGTTCGATAATTCAAGTAATGCGCCTTATTGAAGCGGTTTACAGCCAAACTACTTATTACAAAAATTGTAGAGAAGAATTTTTTTAACAATCGTAAGAAGCTTGATTTTCTATATCTTTATTAATTAGTTGAATAATTAATCGATAAAAAGTTAAAAACCGTGTTAATTTACCATGTGATATTGGATTATTGAAATACGATATTAAAAATCAAATTCCTTACGATTGTTAAAAAACTTCTCCTTTACAATTTTTATAATAGGTATTTTTATTGTAAACCGTTTCAATAAGCCGTATTACACCATATTACACGGAGACCAAAAGTATAGTTTTTATTTGTATAAAATTCGGAAACGATTACCAAATAAAAAACCGAATAAAATTAAATAATATTTGCCACAAAATAATATTATATAATAATCGTTTTCTCATCTGGGTATTTATAAACTATGTTCAGGTGCACGGCTGCGATAGAAAACCAGAATACTAGGTGTTTATAACATCTAGTATCGAGCGCTGCCGCTGTTTATAACGGGCGCAGCACATGACGAGCGTAATTAAACGTTTTTTTTACCGAAAAACATAGTTTCGTAATTCCAGGAATACTGCTTATTGAAGCGTTTTACAGTATAAATACCTATTACAAAAAATGTAGAGGAGAATTTTTTATAGAAACGTGAGAAGCCCGATTTTTTATATCTTGTTCCAATCGTCCAATATCGCATGGTAAACTAACACTGTTTTTTTTTTACTTTTTATCAATTAATTATTTAACTAATTAATAAAAACATCGAAAATCGGGCTTATTACGATTCTAGAAAAAATTCTCCTCTACAATTTTTGTAATAGGTATTTATACTGTAAAACGCTTCAATAAGCCGTATTCCTGGAATTACGAAATCATGTTTTTATGCAATATTTTTCTACTAGTGCGCCCTCTTAAAAAAAAAACTGTACAGTTTAATAGGTAGGTTTTCTCATATTTTTTTGTACCTAATAGCAGTTCAAAAATATTAAATATACATATTATTCTCTATTTTTTTTATAAGCATTTAAAGCAAAAATTTAAAAAAATTCATCAAAATCTTGAATATTTTCAAATAATTATTTTGTGCTAAAAAATGTATAAAATATTTAATTTTTATAGCTAAGGCTCGACAATTTAAACTTTCAAGGTTTCTTATAATAATATTATATTGTAACCGAAAAATCTAAAAATTATATAATCACACTTTTTTTAATGGATATTTAAACTGAGAATAACGATTTTAGTTATATATTTTGTGATTTAAAAACAAGTGAATACTTAAAATTTTGAAAGTATGACAAATGAAATGTTTTCAGTAAAAATTAATTAAACTTACTGTTCTAGACTTTTCACTATAATAGCAATAATATCATGAAATATACCTACCTATTAGGTACTTATAGTAATTTTGGGCTGACAAGACCATCATTCGTTTAGAATCGTTTTTCGTAGGTACACAATAATTTTATATCATTGAATTTAAATTTAACTCATCCATTACAGAGACCCCTCACGACACCTATATTACAGCAGAGCGGTACCCACTTGGCCACTTGCCCACCTTTTTTTTGCTTTGTTCATTTCTTACAAAACGTAATTAATGAAATTAATGTGTATGTCACATTCAGTCACTTACCCACGTAATTGACCAATAGTCAATGGTTAATAACGTTAATATTGGGTCATTGAGGTAAAATTGTTTTATTCTTTGAAACAGCAAAAGTGGCCATTTCCCCGTTGGAAAATCTTAACTGACTTAACTGCATGTAGGTACAATGATATAATGTCGACATGATATGAAATATAGTCGACGAATTACATGACAATATTATCGGAGGGATAATCCACCTGTGACCTGTCTACCAGCCGTCCAAGAGTCTTCCAAAAAACTGATGTCCCTTTTCGTCTCCTCGACCGTCACGTTAAAAATGTTCTGAAATTTAGGTTTGTAGTGCAAATCGATAAAAATAACGGGAGTTGTCTTCCCATTGTGTAATAAACTAATATTAAATTGTACCTATTTGTTTTATTTTTAAATATAGTATTAAAACACCAAACATCCATGGTAAAATTAACTTGGAAATTAACACAGATAAATTAAATACTAGATTTAGATAACGGGTTTTCAATATCATCATCCGTTATTGTAATTTTATATTAAACGTGTGTCCAAAAATGGATAAGCCAAATTCGGAGGAGAAACACTTTTAGATATGTGTGTTTGACATTTTCATTATTCCAATGAAAATATTACATTGGATATTAGAATTCTACCTTAAAAGGTAGATAATAATATATA